GGTCAATGGTTAATGGTTAAAAGCAAGATAAATGTGCTAGACATCTAAGTCCTGGTGAAAAGTGTACATATATATAGTACAGATTTGTGTAAATGTTACGTACAGAGGCAGAGGGAAATGGACACTGACATCTTATAAAAGCATAAGAAATAGTGTTAAAACAAGATAGGTACATCTGCAGAGATCTTAATATCGGGTTTTCTTTCATTTAACCACCGGGTTCTGTTTCTTTCTTTCTTGTTGTGGGTTCTGTTTCTTTCTTTCTTGTTGTGGGTTCTGTTTCTTTTGTTTCTTGTTGTGGGTTCTGTTTCTTTTGTTTCTTGTTGTGGTGTGGTTCTGTTTCTTTTGTTTCTTGTTGTGGGTTCTGTTCTTTTGTTTCTTGTTGTGGTTCTGTTTCTTTTGTTTCTTGTTGTGGGTTCTATTTCTTATCTCCTGTTTCAGGTTCAAATGCTTCTATCTTGTTATAGGTTCTATTTCTTCTTCCTCTCCCTTGTTCTGGGGCTTTGGGCTTCTTCTCCCTTGTTGTGGGTTCTATTTCTTATCTCCTGTTTCAGGTTCAAATGCTTCTATCTTGTTATAGGTTCTATTTCTTCTTCTCCCTTGTTGTGGGTTCTGTTTCTTTTGTTTCTTGTTGTGGGTTCTGTTTCTTTTGTTTCTGTTGTGGGTTCTGTTCTTTTGTTTCTTGTTGTGGGTCTGTTTCTTTTGTTTCTTGTTGTGGGTCTGTTTCTTTTGTTCTTGTTGTGGGTTCTATTTCTTATCTCCTGTTTCAGGTTCAAATGCTTCTATCTTGTTATAGGTTCTATTTCTTCTTCCTCTCCCTTGTTCTGGGGCTTTGGGCTTCTTCTCCCTTGTGGGTTCTGTTTCTTTCTTTCTTGTTGTGGTTCTGTTTCTTTTGTTCTTGTTGTGGGTTCTATTTCTTATCTCCTGTTTCAGGTTCAAATGCTTCTATCTTGTTATAGGTTCTATTTCTTCTTCTCCCTTGTTGTGGGTTCTATTTCTTATCTCCTGTTTCAGGTTCAAATGCTTCTATCTTGTTATAGGTTCTATTTCTTCTTCTCCCTTGTTGTGGGTTCTATTTCTTATCTCCTGTTTCAGGTTCAAATGCTTCTATCTTGTTATAGGTTCTATTTCTTCTTCTCCCTTGTTGTGGGTTCTATTTCTTATCTCCTGTTTCAGGTTCAAATGCTTCTATCTTGTTATAGGTTCTATTTCTTCTTCTCCCTTGTTGTGGGTTCTATTTCTTATCTCCTGTTTCAGGTTCAAATGCTTCTATCTTGTTATAGGTTCTATTTCTTCTTCCTCTCCCTTGTTCTGGGGCTTTGGGCTTCTTCTCCCTCGTTTTGGGGCTTTGGGCTTCTTCTCCCTTGTGGGTTCTGTTTCTTTTGTTTCTGTTGTGGGTTCTATTTCTTCTTCCTCTCCCTTGTTCTGGGGCTTTGGGCTTCTTCTCCCTTGTGGGTTCTGTTTCTTCTTCCTCTCCCTTGTTCTGGGGCTTTGGGCTTCTTCTCCCTTGTGGGTTCTGTTTCTTCTTCCTCTCCCTGGTTCTGGGGTACTTGGGCTTCTTCTCCCTTGTGGGTTCTGTTTCTTTGTTTCTTGTTGTGGGTTCTGTTTCTTTTGTTTCTTATTCTGGGTTCTGTTTCTTTTGTTTCTTGTTGTGGGTTCTGTTTCTTTTGTTTCTTGTTGTGGGTTCTGTTTCTTTTGTTTCTTGTTGTGGGTTCTGTTTCTTTTGTTTCTTGTTGTGGGTTCTGTTTCTTTTGTTTCTTGTTCTGGGTTCTGTTTCTTTTGTTTCTTGTTGTGGGTTCTGTTTCTTTTGTTTCTTGTTGTGGGTTCTGTTTCTTCTTCCTCTCCCTTGTTGTGTGTTTAGTCTCCTCTTCCTTTCCCTTGTTCTGGGGCTCTTGGGTTTCTTCTCCCTTGTGTTGGGGGTTCATGGGCTTTTTCTCCCTTGTTCTGGGACTTTTGGGCTTCTTCTCCCTTGTTGTGGGCTCTGTTTCTTTTGTTTCTTGTTGTGGGTTCTATTTCCTCTTCCTCTCCCTCGTTTTGGGGCTTTGGGCATCTTCTTCCTTGTTTTGGGCTCTGTTTCTTTCTTGTTGTGGGTTCTATTTCTTCTTCCTCTCCCTTGTTCTGGGGCTTTGGGCTTCTTCTCCCTTGTTGTGGGTTCTGGGCTGCTTCTCCCTCGTTTTGGGGCTTTGGGCTTCTGCTTTCTTGTTATGGTTCTGTTTCTTCTTCTGCCTTGTTTCAAGTTCATGGGCTTTTTCTTTCTTGTTGTGGGTTCTATTTCTTATCTCCTGTTTCAGGTTCAAATGCTTCTATCTTGTTATAGGTTCTATTTCTTCTCTTGGTGCAGGTTCTTTTTCTTCTCTCGTGTTATACGTTCAAATGCTTCTTCTTTCATGTTATGTTATATGTTCAATTTCTTTTCTCTTGCTCTAGGTTCAGTTTCTTCTTCTTATAGGGTTTCATCGTCAGTATCCCCAGAGGTTCAAATTATTATTTTTCTCTCGCTGTTTTTTTTTTTTTTTTCTAATGTTTTTATCGTCATCATTATTATCATTATTATTTTAGATTATTGTTGTCCATATTCACTGATGTTAGATTAAACAAGTGTCTTGGAATATCCAGTCCATCGATTTCCTAATAAACTTTCAAAAGAAAATCAGTGCCCTTTCCCGGGTATTTCCATAGGGTGATATTTGTAAAACGTCAACATAAGTCTAAACTAAGTAAACAGCAGGTGATATATTCAAGTCTATTCTGCCAAAGGAAAAATACTTAGCTTAGTAAATTGGAAATCTGTCTATCTGCATACGTTATACACAGTCCTTCCTTTTTAATCTATTATAAGGAACTACTACAGTTCTAGAGAAAAGGGACTTTGCCTTAATAACACTTCTAGTAGTCGGGTACTAGAAGAAAATCACGTGGAGCTGTCGTGATAAAAGCAAGAGTGCATTTTGATAAGAGGGTATATTTTTTTTATCTTTTTCTTTTTTTGAAAACCCGTGTTAGCAGTCAGGTCATTTGATCGATTGCTCTGCAGGAGACAATGGAATTAAATTAAATTAAATTAAAAAAACAATGGTGTGATTCGACTGGCCTTCACATGATAGTCATTCAATAAAACAAAAACAAACAAACAAACAAAAAAATATATATATAATAATAATAAGAATAAGAATAAAACTAATGTATAAGGCATTTTCAAGGCCATATCCTCATCCGTCTTTCAATAGACCATCGCTCTGTTGAAAAACTACTAAACTGCTGCCCTCATTTTCATCTTCATTACTAGTGACCTGTCCTCATTTTCATCTTCATTACTAGTGACCTGTCCTCATTTTCACCCCATGACCTGTGAAGTTCCAATATTGATTTGCTCGTCTCTGGAAATGACGCCACACTGAATAAACTTGAAGGTTTTCCTACCTTTCAGAGCTTCACTGATTTGCCTTTTTGTTGAGGGGAAAAGTTACCGATCGAGTTGAAATAACATCTGAGAGAACTAGCAGTCAATTGCATTAGATTCTAATTCGTATAAGGAATACTTTAGAATACTTTTTCTTGGAGGTGAGGAACTATGAACAGGGTCGGGGGTGGGGGGGACGCCATAGGGTATGCCTCTAATATGCATTTCAAGAAACGTCGATTTATAGAGTGATAAAATAATGGTAAATTTACATAATAACTGTTTGGGAATCGTGTGTGTGTGTGTGTGTGTGTATGTGTGTGTGTGTGTGTATGTGTGTGTGTGTGTGTGTGTGTGTGTGTGTGTGTGTGTGTGTGTGTGTGTGTGTGTGTGTGTATGTGTGTAAGACTCATCTCTCATGTACTGTAGAAATAGGTGTCATTTATTTTTCTTTCTTTTCTTTTCTTCTTTTAGCGTGGGGGGGGGGGGGGTGGCGGGCAAAGCGAGGACAATCAATTTCTGGGAAAATGTTTGAAAATTAGCTATTCTAAGAGCAATTTTAGGCTACGACCAGAGTTGTAAAAGTGGGGGGAGGAGAGGGAACAAGATCTTGTTTTAGGTGACTTTACAAAGTTAACGTATTTATTTTCCCATCAATGAACACTGCAGAATTCTCAGTTTTCAATTTCCTTTATAAAACTCTGAAGACTTCACAATATCTCTATAATACCTTGATAATAAGGAATTCCCAATTCTCCAGATGATACACTGAAGAATTCTCAATTTTCTAAATATTGCATAGATTATAAATTCCTAACCCCCCCCCCCCCCCCCTATCATCCTGGCTGGCTCATTGTCAGATTTAATACCTGAATTTCATACCTGAATAATATATTCCTCAGTTTTTACCTTTTATCTAATATTATTGGTGTTTTCTTCTTCTTCTTCTTCTTCTTCTTCTTCTTCTTCTTATCATTATTATTATTTCTATTCTTATTCTTATTGCTGTTATTATTGTCATTATTATTATTATTATTGTTATGATTATTACAATTATTGTTATGATTACTATTATCATAATCATTATTATTATTATTATTATTATTATTATTATTATTATTAGTATCATTATTATTATTCATTACCATTACTATTGTTTAATATTATTATTTTTTAACATTATTTTTTATTATTATCATTATCATTATTATAAAAAAAAAAATAATAATCATTAGTACTACAACTACTGCTATTGGTATAATTATTATTATCATTACTATTATTATTATCATCATCATTATAATGATAATAATAATAATGATCATCACCATCACCATCCTCACCACCATCATCATGATAATCACCACCATGATCATCATAATTATCATCATCATAATCATCACCATCATCATCATCACCACTACCCCTATTTAACCCCCTAAAAATATATATATATATAAGAAGACTTTAATAAGACTTTAATAAAACTTTAATAAGACTTTAAATAGACTTTATATATAAGACTTTATTTAAACGTGGCGCCACCCTCTCCCCCTCCCCCCTCCCCCCCCTACCCACCCACCCCCGGCAGCGCCATAGAGAAGAACGAGAGAGAAGAGGAAGAAAAGATTATTTTTTCCTTATTTCGGCCTTAATATCGAGTTCATTTGGATTCCTTAGTGTCCAGGAGGCTGCGGGAGGAACCGAGGTAATAGGATTTTGAGAGATGGTGGAGAGACTTTGATTTTTTAGGGGAGATATTTAGGGAAATAGGACGATAAAGAGGCGTAAGGGGAAGGGGAAGGAATTGGAATGGGGGGGCAGGGGGGGAGGGAGGTAAAGTTTACGGCCATATATATATTTTTTAAATCTAATTTATTGTATTTCTGTTCTTTATTTAATGTATTTTCTCTAGTTGGTTTCGTCATTCTGGACTTTTTTAAAATTTAAAATGGTGTTCATCTGATCAGCTGGGGAGATTATCAAAACACACCCACGTGGCTGGGCGGGACTGTTGGCACTCCGGCGAAGGCCAAGAAAGCCTTTTCTGTGTGTGTGTGTGTGTGTGTGTGTGTGTGTGTGTGTGTGTGTGTGTGTGTGTGTGTGTGTGTGTGTGTGTGTGTCTGTGTGTCTGTGTGTGTGTGTGTGTGTGTGTGTGTGTGTGTGTGTGTGTGTGTGTGTGTGTGTGTGTGTGTCTGTCTGTCTGTCTGTCTGTCTGTCTGTCTGTCTGTCTGTCTCTCTCTCTCTCTCTCTCTCTCTCTCTCTCTCTCTCTCTCTCTCTCTCTCTCTATCTATCTCTCTGTCTGTGTGTGTGTGTGTGTTTGTTTCTGTCTGTCTGTCTCTGTTTTTTTCTGCTTGTCTATCACTGTTTCTCTCTCTGTCTCTGTTTCTCTCTCTCTCTCTCTGTTTCTCTCTCTCTCTCTCTGTCTCTGTTTCTCTCTCTCTCTCTCTGTCTGTCTGTCTCTGTCTCTGTCTCTTTCTCGCTCTGTGTCTCTCTGTCTGTCTTTGTTTCTCTTAGTCTGTCTGTGTCTGTTTCTCTCTCTGTTTGTCTGTCACTGGTTTTCTCTCTCTCTCTCTCTCTCTCTCTCTCTCTCTCTCTCTCTCTCTCTCTCTCTCTCTCTCTCTCTCTCTCTCTCTCTCTCTCTCTCGCTCTCTCTCTTCCTTTCTCTCTCTGTCTGTCTGTCTCTCTCTCTGCTTCTCTCTCTCTCTCTGCTTCTCTCTCTCTCTCTCTCTCTCTCTCTCTCTCTCTCTCTCTCTCTCTCTCTCTCTCTCTCTCTCTTCCTCTCTCCCTCCCTCCCTTTCTCTCCCTCTCCCTCTCCCTCTCCCTCTCCCTCTCCCTTCCTCTCCCTCCCTCTCCCTCCCTCTCTCTTATATTCCCAATAAAAAAAACCCTAATCAACTAATCCTTCATTTAAATACCATCAAAATCAACATTCATTCTCTCTTGCAACAGAATTTAAAAGGATGTTCACCGCTGTATTGAACTCCACGTCATAAACTTTATTTAAAGAATCTAAATTGTCCGGAGTGGGGGGGTCCTTCGGGGGTAACTGCCCGAGGGGAGGATTAATGGGGGGGGTGGACTGTGCCCCCAAATACCCTCCGGAAAATATTGTTGTCCCCCTTGGTATGCAGGGCAAGAGAGAACTGGAATTTGGGAGCCCGAAGTGGGACGTGTTTTTTGTTTTTTTCCTTTATTTGTGGCGTGATTGTGTCTGGAGATTTATTTGTTGTACCAATTACTTTTTTTTTTATTCTCTATAAGAATGTGATATTCAATTTTGCTCTTGGTTAGTAAGGCCATACTGTAAAGTTTAACCAAAAATCACTATTGAGTGTCTTACCCTTAAGTATACAGAACACTGATGCAATTTTGTTCTAATTAATGCTATATATATATTTTTTTTACTTAACAGCTGCACAAAATTATGAGAAAAAATTTGTTTGATAAATGTGATACGCGCTAATGTGTTGGGCCCTATATCTCGGCATTATTGAGATTGATATTGATGTGATGTGTGATAGTAATGTGTATTTAACAGAAAAGTTAAGCAAATTAGATCACTTCAGAAATAGAGTTGCATGTGTAAGAGATGTGGCCTCACAATCACAAGATTATTTCAGAGTTTATTTAAATGAGGAATATCTCCCTTATCTCTCCTCACTACAATTTACAAGTAGTGAGAAGGCAGACACATGCAGTTGTGTCCAGTGGAGAAATTGATACAAAAGTCTGCATGGGTACTAGAATTGCATCTCCTTAAGAAGTATTAAAACAGGCTTTTTCAATAGGATATACATTTTACACTTATCAAAATCGTAGTGTTGATTGTTGGCTTCAGAAATGTTGGGATTATAGGAAGTTATGAAATGTATTCCAGTATTTAAAACCACCAATGTAGACTGAATAAATTGGTGATTCTTTACATTATGAGCACACTTGCCAGTCTCCAACTCCAAGTCACAAAATTTATTCAACAATCGAAGTTTCCGTAACTAGGTATGCCCTTTTGGGTGGGTTGAAACTCGATAGTACCGAGTGGACTTAGGCAGTGATAGGTACTTTCCACTATATTTTTCTTTTATTTAGGGCATTATTGTTTATGTTTTTCCAAGAAAATCCTCTTTAATTTGTCCTACCTTACTGCATCAATACAGTTTAACTAAGAATTTTTTGGTGGAAGTAAAAAGAATAACTTCAGAATCAAAGTTCATTGGCTGTGTAAGTACGAAAAACAGTGAAATGCTGTTTTGAGAAATATAGTGGACAGAAAGCTCAGCTAAGGTATTTTAGGGCAAGGTATTTTCACCATACATATTTCAGAAGACATCTTGTAGACTTAGAAGAACTAGTTTAAACTCTTATCTTGGCAGACTTTGTGTATTGAAAGTTTGTTTCCCATTGACAAAGTAGGGAGGCAGCTATTCTATGTAGCTCTGTCATTGACGTGGTGACAGTCAGCTGACACTAGGTTGGCTTCCAGTACTCAAAATTATGCTTATATGAAGGTTCTTTATTTTGTTGCAGTTTTAACCAATATACCATAGATCTGATAGATAAGTGTTTTTTCTAAGAATGTATGGTATGTCATATTCATGGGTTTATTGATAGATAATCTGTAGTTTTAGGATTACCATAAATATATACCTTTTTTGGTTAGTGCATTTCTATAATCAACTAACAATCTTGGTTTGATAGTTTTGATAATATAATTAGGCATGAAGTATATCAAGGAAATACAGTTGATATGGAACAGTGATATATATATATTAAAGAATATAGATAAATAAATATATTAATCAGCCATTTTTTAATTTTTTTTATAGAAATACTAACCTATATAGGAAGTTTATACCATTTTGAAAAAAAAAGTCTATGAAAGACATAAAATACATTGGAATGCACATTATCAGCCAGCTATGGATCCACTTATTTTATACAAAATGTTTAAAACCAATTAATTCTACCAAACTCCCAGTCAGATGTTAGCCCACAGATCCCCTACCCTGGAGACGTTTACTTGCCAGGGTCTCCGCTCTCTAAACCCACTACAGAATTTAGTCTTGACTTTACTTTTATTTGTCTGGAGGAAAGACAGAGCTTTGCCTCAACCAGGAAGACAGGGCGCATCATGCTTGTTGGCCTCTGGATGTTGTAGCTAGGAGGCCCTTTTGGTATGACCTCCCAGCTGTGACATCTTTTCTTTCAGTGTCCTCCATTGTAAGGGTTAACAAAGATGTGTGTTTGGTTTGCTTTGAGAAGTTACTCCAGCTGTCTCATGTGGGAGTCACTTGTGTTCTTGCCTTGCACTCCACTTTGGGTTGCCCACCATGCGTGTCTCATGCAAGGTTCCCTGGCCTCAGGGAGTCACTGTTATAGTAACCACCTGGAAATAGTTTTTTTTTTTTTTTTTCTACTCAAAAGTACTCATCGTGGTTGAGTTAAAGCCTTCATCTTGTAGTCAATCACGTGCCTTCCAGCAGTCACTGACGATTGTCTGTTGGTCATGTATTTCTTCTTCTACACTGTAGATCATCAATAGGGACACTGCAAGGCAAAAGATAGTTCAAAACAAATCTGGATGCCCTTTGAGTATGGTCGGGAATCATAAGAAGCTGATGACAGTTTGAGCCCCCACCCCCACACCCCCATGATTAAACTGTAAAATATATATTGTTTACCTCCTCTCCCATACAGACAAAAGCAAAATCAATTATATTGGAATTTTGTCACTTGCCTGTAGTAGAAGTCCTCCCCCAAAATCTAGAAGCAGCTGTGCTTGTTCTTTCTTGTTCTTTGTTGTCTGTGGTAGATTTTGCACCTAATTTAAATTTCTTTGCTCCTCAGTCGATGAAGGGAAAATTGAAGTCACCTGTTATTGTAATATCTTGGTCCTTTGCAGTTTTGATATAATAAAAAATGACATAGAGCTTCACTAAAGAAAACATTAGTTGAGTCATGATACATAATTTTTGTGTGTTCTTGGCCAATGCTTCTGGGACTTCTAAAGTGTTATTGGGATGTTCTGTTGCTTTGTCATTATTTTGTTGCAAGATTTTATCAGATGTAAAAAGCTGCTACTCCTTCTAGATTTAGTGTTTCTTTTCAGTATGTAAGAATCTTTCATTTTCACTTCTTTATCTTATATGTCTTCCCTTAAGTGTGTTTCAGTGAGGGATATAACTGAATTATTGTGTGTATATATATATGTATTTATGTATAGGTGTGTGTGTGTGTGTGTATCTATATATATATCTATCTATCTGTCTATATAGATAGATAGATAGATAGATATTATATATACTATATATATATTATATTGTTTTAGTCACATCTATATATTTGTATGATTTTGCTCGTCTTGCAACTGCTAATCATTTTTTGCTACTCATATTTATATATATAAAAAAAAAAAAAAATCCCATGACATCTTAGGTTAGGTTGATTTAGTTTCTTGGTTTTTACCAATCACAGGAGAATCAGGCAGATGGTGAGGGATTTGGGGCACAGTCCTCACATAGGAAGGTTTGGGGGTTTATTGGAGTTTCATTGTTAATAGTCGGTGATGAATAGTCTCTCGGCCGGAACCTTAGATCTTCTTTGCATATTAGTTGTGAATTACAGTTATATTTTAAGTCCCCGATGATACCAACGTGCCATCACTTATATTCTTGAAGCCCATGTGCAGTGGAGGGATATTATATAAGAATAATAAGCAGTAAATAAATAGATAAGAATAATAATAATGAGCAGTAAATAAATTAATAATAATAAGAATGATAAGTAGGAAATAAATCAATAATAAGAATAATAATATGCAGTAAATAAATAAATAAATAATAAGAATGATAAGCAGTAAATAGATAAATAATAAGAATAAGAATAAGCAATAAATAAATAAGAATAAGAAAAATAACCAGTAAATAATGATAAGCAGTGGGGGGATATAATATAAGAATAATATAAGAATCCTTTTACTGCATCTATTGCCAAATCTCATTTTGAGTGTGCTAAGATTATAGATATATGACATTTATATAAACCATCCTTGCTCTAAATGTGGACTACAAATCTCTTAATCTTAATAGATCATTTTGAAATCCCAGCCTGAGATTATCATACCCCCCCCTTCCCCCCCAAAGATGTAACATGTTTCTATACACAGGTTGTTTCAAGATGGGTTTGGGCTCCATAGCTGTGCTTGCTGTCTGATTTGAAAGCTGAGGGCGCTAGAAAAACCTGTGGACTAACACTGCCGATGTTCGACTCCCAGCCTAGATGTGTGCAGATGCTTTGGAGTTCGTAACCAGCACCTACGCAAGAACCCAAGGCCGAGGTCAGTCTAGCCGCGTTGCAGTAAGAGGGATAGATTTACGAGAATACTAGCTGTATATTTGGTAGGTTGAGTGAAGTTCTGTGGTGAATTCAGCTTGACTTTGTTTTCATTTTGAGATGCTATTCCCATTTTGGAAGGCTTGATAATAGTTCGAAATATATTTCATTGCAGATAGGGAGATATTGGTACACAATTGTTCTGAGTCGGCTAAAAGAGTGAATGTCGCAGATAGCATTGTATCCATGCAAAAAAATCAGAGAAGACTTTGGTGTATAGTTTAAGATATAGCATAACATTTAGTATAATAAAACACAACACAAAACACACACAAAAAAAACACACACACATGATACATACACAAAAAAAAAAACACACACACACACACACACAGCTATCTTTCATGTTCTCTTTTCTTTATTTCTTAATTTTTTCCCATTTTTCCTGCAGATTGTGGGTGTGAGTGGTGTGGCAGAGTACATGGCTCGAGAAATGATCTTGAACATGTCGTCAGCATTTGCCATAGGAAGATAGAAGCTATGACGGCATACCCAATCAAACAGACATGAGATGCCCCCTGCCTTTTAGAGAACACTCCTCCTATGTCATTTAAACCTTTATGCAGTCGTGTGCCTTTTGGAGAGTTGGAAAAAATATTTTTTGAGAAGTGGTAAGATGAAAAAAAACAAGATGGCACTTGAATGTGCCGACTGTGGTAAGGTGTTCAAAAGGAGCGACCACCTGAAGACGCACCAGAAGATTCACACGGGAGAGAAACCGTTTGAATGTTCCGAGTGCGGGAAAAGGTTCGGTAGGCTCGGTGACCTGACTGTGCACCAGAGGGTTCACTCGGGAGAAAAACCGTACGAGTGCCATGTCTGCGGGAAGAAATTCAAAGTAAATAGTGATTTGAGCGTACACCAGAGAAGTCACACGGGAGAAAGACCCTACGAGTGCTCCGAGTGCGGGAAAAGGTTTAATCGAAGTAGTCATCTGAAGACACACCAGAGGATTCACTCTGGTGAGAAAAAGTTTGAGTGTCCTCAGTGCGACAAAAAGTTTCTTCGAAATAGTGATCTGAAGGGACATGTGGCCACTCACGCGGTGAAGAAAAGGTTTGAGTGTTCCGACTGTGGAAAAGGTTTTGTCAAGAAGAGTGATCTACAAGCACATGAAAGGATGCATGCTGGAGACGCACCATTTGAGTGTTCCGAGTGTGGGAAAAGGTTTTTTCAGAGGAGTCATCTGAATGCACACCAGAAGATTCACTCGGATGACAATCCCTTTGAGTGTTCCGAGTGCGGGAAAAAGTTTAATAAAAATTGCAATCTGAAGGCACATGAAAGGGTTCACTCTGGAGAAAAACCATACGAGTGCTCTGAGTGTGGGAAAAGATTCACTGTAAGTGCTTCTCTAAAGATACACCAGAAGCTCCACAAAAAGACCCTCTTTGAATGCACCGAGTGCGGGGAAAAGTTTGAAGAAACTGGAGAGTTGGAGAAACACCTGATATCACACATTGAAGAGAAGCCGTTTGAGTGTTCTGAGTGTGGAGAAGGTTTCCTTGCCGATCTAAAGATACACCAGAAGGTTCACTCTGAGCTTGAGGAAATGATTGATGTAGAGGTGTCTGAGGAAAAGGTCATTGTAAGTGAGTCTGTGATAGAGGATGCTGTAAGTGAGTCTGCGGACGAGAATAGTTTAGACGAATCTTTGGAAACGGTTAATGGAAATGAGTCTGACAAAACAGTTGTTATAAATGACATGAAAATGCCCCCAAGGCTTCACATGCGTGAAAGACCGTCTGAATGTTCAGGCTGTGGGAAAAAGTTTGATCGAGATGATAATCCGAAGACAGGGAATGACTCTGAGGAAAAGCCACTCAAGTGCTCAGATTGTGGGAAAATATTCATAAATATCTGCTTTAATGATAGTAGTTTACAGGCACAGCTGTTGATAAACTCAGGTGAAAGACAACACAGGTGTTCTATTTGTGGGAAAGTGTTTAGTCGGAGTGATAGCCTAAGACTACACCATAGAATTCACACAGGTGAGAAACCTTACGAATGTTTGGAGTGTGGGAAAAGGTTTATTGAAAGTAGTAAGTTAAAAAGACACGAGATTATTCACTCCGGGGAAAAACCATTTAAATGCACCGAGTGTGGGAAAAGTTTTACTCAGAGTGAGTCATTGAAGACACACCAGATGACTCATACTGGAGAAAGACCCTTTGAGTGTTACGAATGTGGGAAAAGGTTCAAGAAATATAGTGATCTGAAACTACACCAGTGGCTTCATTACTCAAATCCAGAGTTTAATAAAAAGAAGATTGAACCCACTGATGTGAAAGCACTACAGAGGGCTAACTCAGCAGCAAAAATACTGAAGTGCCCCGACTGTGGGAGACGATTTAACGACAGGAGTGAGCTCAAGAAGCACCAGGAGAGTCATCCAAAGAAAAAGCCATTCGAATGCCCCGATTGTGGGAAGAGGTTCAGTCAGAAAAGTAACATGAAGACGCACCAGAGGATTCACACGGGAGAAAAGCCATTTGAGTGCGCCGAGTGTGGAAAGAGATTTACCGATGGAAGTCACCTGAATATACATAAGAGGATTCACACAGGAGTAAAGCCATACGAGTGTGCTGATTGTGGG